TGTTAGCTTTATAATAGTGCATATATACACAGCCCCACTCAGTACTCCCAGATATACCATAGAGGTGTTATTGCTCTCTTATCTTAGTTTATACAGAGTTCACAATGCATATGGTTATAGGGTTTTCACTGGATCCCAAAGCCTAGCCGCTGGAAAACAAATATCTCCAGAAATGTCCCCATCAGGTTGAAACCAAGTCATTGTACCTGTTGATTTATCATTGAACAGGTCAGGGTATTACCAACTTGTTGAAAGTTTGTATACATGTACGTCATGAAGTGGATCACAAGTGTTACAAAAGAGAAGCAAAACCTTTTGTTCATATTTGATTTGCTTTGGTCTTGTTTCAATCATCAGCAAAAACTACCCGACAACTTGAAAATGACACCGATTATTGGAGAGGTAATCCATGTATCAACTCTTGAAGGTGCTATTAAAGAGCAACTATAAGGAAAACATGTTTTCTCTGATTTCATCTGTTCAAATAAATATGGAAGCATCCACATCGAACGCAGTGTCATTCGTCTTCAGAGCTCAACTGTAACAAGCTAAAAAGGGTTTTTTCTGTTCATGCCAAGATGCGAATTCTGAACATGCTGAATGTAGATTGCGTCATTCTAAGAAAACACAGAAACCAAGGGGAACCCTCACCCTGTGTTCGTACTTCATAGTGGATAAAACCCTTGTGCATGCCAAACAATGGCTAGATGCATTGTTTGACATGCACAAGGGTTTATCCACTATGAACATAGGGCGAAGGTTTCCCTCGTTTTCTTTTTTCTCAGAATGACGCAATCTACATTCAGCATTTTCAGAATTCGCATCTTGGCAAAAAAAGGAAAGAAGCCCTTTTGAGCTTGTTATAGTTGAGCTCTGAAGACAAGTGACACTGCGTTGGATGTGGACGCTTCCATATTTATTTATTTTAAAATCAGAGAAAACATGTTTTCCTTCGAGTTGCTCTTTAATGTAAGAAAAAAGTACAAAACAAAGCAAAACCAACAACAGGTTTTTTCCTCTGAAATGCACAGGCTGAGCTTGTTCCAAAATACATGTTATTTATTCTGCCAAAATGCAAATCTCCTTTCAAACTTTATGGATTGTAACATTAACATTTTATCAGGAATGCTTTCCACTAGTGAACATTCTGCTAAAATTCACAGCCACCTGTTATTATTGGTCTGTTTGTACAATCACGTACCTGCCCTAGGTCGGCTCTCTCTGCATGCAGTAATTCGGATGGAGTCTTCTCAACACAACAAAACTATTGCTAAGAATATAACAATCCCACATGCATTTTTCTGGCTGTAGACCAAAACTGTCAATTTTTGTTTCTGCCCTAAAGTCAATGATACAAGCTTCCGCATTCAGATCCTGTCCAGTTAGAGTTTCCAGAACTCATGGTGCTGATACTAGTGATAGCAACTTATCCTACATCTGTACTGCACATTCCTTTCCATCCGGTCCATGGACCAGGAACTTTATCAACGTGTACTTTGCCTTTAACCATGCACTGGCGAATAAACAGAATGAAGAAAATCTGGCAGAACAATACATACTTATTCTGAATAGCTTCACTGGACTTCCACCTGTATACCACAATGTAGCTTAGAATTCCAGTTATCTGCCTTAAAGAAGGTCACCACCACCCTGCACTAGACAGTCTTCTTTCACCCAGTCACACACAAAAAAGAACTGAACTGCTCTGCTAGTGAGGCACCTCAGCTTGCTGGAAGGAAGTTGGTAATCACTCATGATAGAGTGTGCACAACTCCCTCCTGATGCTCCGGATCCCCAATGGCTTGGCAGTTATCAGGTGACCCTGAAAGTGTAACAGGTCTAACCTGGACACAGGGTGACCTTATACATGTTATACAGACTAATGTGTCACACATCAAACAGCTCTGGCTTCAGTGTCCTGACCAAACCCTTGCCTTGTCTCCTCCTGAATTAGACATTTCTTGAAGGCCACAGCAAGGGAACGCCTATAAAGAGAAACTGCAATCAAGTTGTTTTAGTACAAACCTTCAAATGCACCTTTGTGTCTCAGTAACCTTATTTTCAACTTTTGTTTCATTATTCAAAGGGTAGTTTACTGTCTTTTTGTTTTTTTATGGTAATAAGTATTTTAATATTCAATTATTGATAAGGAAAAATTAGGAAAACTGTGATGTCTTCCCAGGAAGACAGCCTTAATATTACATTGGTTTGTAAAATCCTGTATTTTTGTAGATTTTGCTGGACTCATTTTTTTTTGGGTGGGGCTGATTCATTGTTGCTTATAATCATAGCAATAAGCAAGCATCACTCCCTTTCTCAGATATGTTTTCAGTCAGTAACATCAGGGTTCACAATTTGAACAGAAACATCTGTGAATTGAACTATGTCTTCTAGATGACTTCACAGCAACAATGCCCTCAGTTGTCCTGAAAAGCATGCATAAGTTTAATTGTTTAAAAAGTGAACTTTTCAATGCATTTAACGGAACAGGAATGTAAAAGAGTTTTCATACATTGAAGAAGAGTACAAAGTTGAAGAAAAAACTGTGTCTAAGAAAAATTCACTGCAACTTCACTTTAAGTATATAGTATGCAGTATCATTATATGCTTAGAATAGCTGTCATCTTTACTTTTCATTTAGGAGAAAGTTATATTGCCCAGTATTAGAATCTTTGTTGTTGAGATATGTCAAACTTTATGTCAGAAAGAAGAGGTTGAAATAAGCCAGAAATAATAATGAAGATTATTTCCTGTGTGTAAATATTTATATAATCTATAATGTATTACATAATTATGTGAGAAATATATATATGCGTTATACAGTAATTTCCTACGCCGTAAATACATAAAAGTGTTTAGAATCACTGATTTAGATGTTTACAATCTCTCATAATGGTAGCCAATAATCATTTTCTGAGAGAGTCATTTGTACGCACACAATTTTATTTCTTGTTGGCCCAGCAGCGGGAAGTATTGAATCACTAATATTTAATAAATTTTCAGAAGGTCGTGATTTCTGATTGGTCATTGCCATCAGTGACAGGAAACCAGGGAAGGTCTGGGGATAGACCGGATTAAGTAGTGATGCCATACTATTTTAGGCCAGCATTGGCTAAGTTTAAATATAGGATTCCCATTTGAGGAAACGTATCTAGGTGTGACTAACTCAAGAACCCGCTTTCTCCCTGTGGTTTGACTTTTAGAGTCTTGGGCAACATAACACAGGGTGAGTTGTACCGTGGTTGTACATTTATGTACATGTATGAAGGAAGGTATGAGGGAAGGTTGGTTGGAGAAACCACTTCATCGTGGGAAATGGTCCTCACTGAAAAATTGCATTAAATTGCATTTTCCTTATTGAAAAGTACTATTTGAAACAGGAAACCGGCAAGAAAATTAGTTACAAGTTAAATATACTGGTCCCAGAAACTAATTTAATAAATAAAAAATAAAAGAAATGTCTGTGTGTTACAATACAACATTTCCTTCATGCTCAGAGTAAGGTCCTCAGAGTATTTTCAAAGATTGTTAATTGCGGTTGTGACCTTTTAGCACTGACCCGATCGTTCGGTCTTGTCATTGAAGAGTTGTACAACCATTGTGTTGTGGAAAGAAAGGTGAAGTATTTTAAGAAATGGAAGGAATGTACCCATCGCTTCAAGCCCTACATTCCCTGATCCATCTCTCGGCACTTGACTGATTCCCTCAAAATTATGCAATCTGCCCTCCCTTTGAAACCTTCCCTATCTGCAGTCTCACTGCCACGCCCAGGCCCCACTTCCTCACTACTGGGCAGTTGCACCAGGTTTCTAAAAGGGAGAGGGGCAATGTAAGTACAGCATGGCATCCAAAAGTGTGGGAGGGATTTATAATTTTCAAAAAAGTAGAAGGGGTACATGACCCACCCCCCATCCAGGTGACCCCAGTGGCAACACAGTGGGGGAAGGGTTGGATGGGGGGGCTTTCCCCTCTCCCAATTCTCTTGTGCCCCCCCCCCACATATACACAAACATCGAACTCAAAGATGAATTCTGTTTAAGTGTGTATTTTCTTCACAACCCAGAATCAGATCAAGGATTGAAAATGGAGAGGGGAATTCTGTTGATTCTGTGCACAGAGTCCGTCTCTAGCATTAACCTTGCTGGACACTCTCCACAATGCCCCACCCACAGGTGTTTATCGCCTCAGCAATATTTCTTTGTCCCTCCTCAACCCCCCCCCCATTGTAGGGTCAGCCACTGGATGTGATTAAGCCAATCCTTAAAAGTTAAAACCAGGCCCTACTTCTCCGTCCATTGGAGGGGGGTGATTGGTCCCAGTCGTAGGCTTGCCAGCCAACGCTGCATTCAGATGGACATTACCCCCAAAACAACTGCCACAGATACGGGCTGTAAACTTTTACCAACTCCCTAGAATAACCCTGGTTACCTTATTTCAAAATTGTCCTTTTCCATTGTGGATCCTTTTGCAATATCAAATTGCTAGCCTCCAAGCTGACCCCTTTACGCTCCACGGCATAGTGATAACTGATGACATGTCTGCACTTTCAAAGAGCTGACATAAGCTTTCTAAATATTTTCACAAAGTTAGTGCTTTCAAGCTGTTAGTCCCAGTAGTGGCAAAGAAAAAAGTGTATACCCAATTGTGTGGGTGTGTATATAAATATGTGTACTTAGATGGCCCCCGTTCTTTGTTAAAAATTTCAGTTACGTTTACCCACACAATCTCCCCCCGGCACCAACATCCTAAAAATGTTGGACAAAGCTCAATTATCCAGATGTTTGTCTTTTTAGTGTACATGTTGGTCATTTTCCAAAAGATTTACTCAGGAGTTGGACACCTTGTGACAGAAGTTTGGAACATATTTATAGCAATTTAGGGCAAAAGTTGGTCAAAATATGCCCATAATAACCCCTCCGCCCATTTTTTTTTCACAGTGGTGCATTAAGTATCTGATTCTAGCTTTTGTAGCCGGAAACAAGTTGAACATGGCATATAGATATGTTGCTCTTCTGGTTTATTCTAGACATGATAGTGTGGATTTTAGTCTTTTGACAGGCATATGAACATACTTTTTCTTGAAATTGTAACAATTTGATTTAAAAAATTCTGTTACTAAGGTTTGTGCAAAGAACAGCACGTATCATGTGAAAGTTGAAACAAAAGCAGATCTAATGACATGTAGTTTAGTTTGGTGTGACATTCTTGCTTACCAAATCGCTGTGCTTTACTTCAAATTAACATAAAGTATGAATTTTTGTAAATAAAAATGTTACGACATTCATTCTTGAATACATACAGACTATACAAGCAACTTTGAAAAGAACAAGGCAAATTCATAGTTTTCATCACTTGAATCATTAAAATTTGTACTGAAAATATCGTCCCTTCCTCTAATAACAAAGCTAGCCCTGGGGAAAAAAATTGAACCCCATTAACAGTCTACAAACTAAATACACATTTATACTTAATGCTAACTAAAACTGACTTCTGAAAAATAACTTCAGTGAAAATATATGTAAATACTTTTATAATAGCAGCCAATCAGCCGAAGCAACAATGCTATAAATACTATGTTCAATATAAAGTCCAACAATATGCACATTTTCAAAAGGAAATCCAATTTTAGTGTGCTTTACACACATTCTTTCTGGAATGCTAGAGTTTACTTGAAAGGGTATGTTTCATAACATGTAGAAATGAATGCCAGTCACGATTTTGATGACAGTAATAAAGTCCTTGCAAGGAAATTTGTGAAATCAAGATTATAATTTTTCTTTTTATGATAAAAATGATCATTGTCAAAAGTGTTCAGGCCAACTTGGAAGAGCTAAGAAGTGATACAGTGACACACATGTTCATGTGCGAGTTCCTGAATAAGCTTGAGTGCAAGCAACCAATTTTAACGGAGATGAAGTGGATTTTCTTTGTTTTTCTGTTCAGAATGACAATTTACTGTTTTTCCACCAAGAGAACACATGCAGAATAATGACATTAACATTTTCTAGATTTTAAATGTAGCCCCACAATAGATGTTTGTGAATTTAATATTACATGGAAATCAATGGAGTCCTTTAAGAAAAAGCTTTTAGATTTTTCCAGTCTCATTGCACCAAGAAATGGAATACATGATCAGACAAACAAAGTTTATTTTAGATTTTAGGTCTTATGAAGATTTGTGTAAGGTTTTGCCGAAAAGTTTGCCGTTAAAATACAAACATGTACATGTTAAAGCTCTGGTTGTTTTTAGCAAAGTTCCTTTTTGTGAGGGAAAAGGTTGGACTATTTTGGTGAGCGGTTGAGTTTTTTTACATTTTGCTTATTCAGTGTTTGCGTAGTTTTGCTAATGATATTTTGTAAAAGTCATGACCGTTGCATGGATTTCTATGCAGTATAGATTGCATCGTTTTCAACAGCGTATTGCCCATGAAAAGAACAAATTAATGTTGCGTATGAAGTAATTATTGTAGGAGCACATTTCAGATATTTGATTCCATAAAGTTCCAGTCATTCATCCCCGTTATCACTGGTGTGGTAACTGGCGATTCGTCTATTTCATTTACATATGTGTATCTTGTCACCTCTCGGTTGTGTAGTGGTGTGTCATCCTCCTCTTTTTCATATTCCTCGCAGTCCTCATCATTAGAGAACAGCTCTGGGTAAAGTCGGCATTCCTTGGGTCCTGAACTTTTGCCAGATTTGTTCTGACGTGCTCGCCTAGCCCAGGCATTCCCATTCCCCATCATGGGCCGAAGTGACTTCCCTGTTTTCTTCATGTAGTCGAGCTCATAAGCGCTACATTTTGGCGTGTCACTCACAGCGTAGGTGATGTTGAAGTGCGAGTAGTCCACACTGAGCTTGTCGTCAGTGTCAGCCATGGACACAACGTGGCTGCTGAAACGATGACCCCACTTGATCTCCAACGGGAGATAGGAGGTTCGCACCTGCGTGAGTAGACCTGTTTGCTCCACAATGCCCTCGAGGCAGACAACAATTTCAAAGGAGTTATCTAACAAGTCAAAGTAAGAGTACTTGTACAAGGGGCTATTCTCATCAATAACATGACAGATGATGAGAGGCCAGACTAGTAGGAGGTTATCCTCACCTGCAGATTCTCCGACGTCCATGGGATAGCTGTGAAGTGGGATGCATTCTTCCTCCCTAGTGATGCGTGGTCTGACCAGTTTGGCCCGAATCGTTGCCCCAAATAGGTGGCTGTTACGTATATCACCAATGCGGAACATGAAACACAATTTACCATCTCTCATGGCGATCACAGCTTCATGGCTGAACTTGATTGTAGCCGCCCTCTTTTTAGGACGGGCGATTTTGACAAATATGCAGCCGACAAGTATGGCATCAATCAGTGCACTGAAGACAGACTGGATGACAACTAAGGATGGTCCCATCCAGCACTCCTCAGTAACGGAGCGGAAACCGTAACCAATGGTTGTCTGTGTCTCGATGGAAAACAAGAGTGCACCAATGTAGGTGTCTACATGGGCAACACAAGGCATAAAGTTCTCATCGCCCCGGCTGCGATATCCCAAGTCCCCGTGCCGCCACGCCAGACAGTACCAAAGACCACTGAATCCCACCCAACCAACGACGTAGGCTAGACTGAAAAACAGGAGCAAGAAGCGCCACCGCAAGTCAATGATTGTTGTGAAGATGTCGTTGATGAAGTTGACAGCATAGGACACCTTGGTGTTGTGGACGACATTGCAGGCTCCTTGCTTGTCCACTAGTCGCTTTAGCTTTCTCCGCTTGCACGTGTCGACCTGGTGGATGATTTTCTGAATGGACTTTTGTCGCATAAGGCACTCAGGCTTCCCCTCATTCTCAGTCACACCCCTTACACTCCTGGACCAAGGCAGGGATGGATTGGCCTGATGGCCCTCTTCCATATCCACCGACACTGAGCAGCTAAGACAGGGCCTCACAGGGCCCTGCCTCACTGGTTGTGAAAACTGTGTCACTGCACACTCGTGACACTTCTTGCTTTTAGGTAGCGACATCATTGTGTGTTCTTGTCCAATAGTACAACCAGCAATCCACAGGTTGTTCCCAGTAGTTACTCTGCAGAAGTTGGAATAAGAAGACAAAGATCAATGAGGAAAAATGGCCACAAAGTCCATTTGTTTCATTCCACAAGTGTGTCTCTTGACTCTAACTTTATTGAAGTGACACACCTGGGCACATGGTGTGCAAACACTTACCACTAGATTTATGGGTCTCTTTTACAGGACTGGGGAGATCAGGTTAAATTCATTCGCTGTATAACTACTACCAGAGACTGCTGGAAACCAGTGCATGTTCTGTGGGACCAAGCTTTTCACGGCCAAGCATACCAAACTTTTCACGGCCCATCTGTTTCCTCCATTCAAACAGGACCAAGTCTGGAGCTCACTATAATTGGGGTCAAGGTAGAGGTCACCTTTCAGTGTTTGGTGATCATGAAACATGCGCATGTAAGAAACTTGCCAAATTTCCTTGAAAGTTCACTGAATCGTATCCTGTTCAGGCAATTCAGACATTCACAGCTTCAATGTTCACATTCTTTGTTCACTTATTTGTCCCTACATGGTAAATGCACAAATTTGTTTGTTTTTAATTGGTAGGGTGAGCAACACAAGTTAGCCATTGAAATGATTTAAATATTCATCATATGTGGCGTTTGTTCATTCAAACTGATGAGTTTCTCAGAAATATTTGTCCATGTAAACAATGATGTACAAGACAAAAAGATTAATAAACATGATCCTACAGGAAAAAAGAATAACCAGTTTTTCAAAGATGTACTTCAGAGATTTCCAAGTTTTACACATTATATGTGTGCAGGTAAATTTTCCAATTGAAGTGTTCAAACAAAAATGATTGTTAATTCACAACTTGAGTACTTTGCACTAACTTGGCTTAAACTGGGTAGTCCTACTCACCAATCAAAGGTGCAAAAGTCACTACTATTGGAGTTCCACCCTGCACTAGTGGTCAATCTCGGCTCTCTAAAAAGCACAAGCGTGTTGTTTCTTTATGTGTAACCTGTTGACAAGTGGGGCTTGCAGTGGTAATCATTGCTTTCACAGATATGTTGGTAGAAGCACTCTTTATATAGCACGTCAGTATTTGGGGAAATAAGGCACTTTGAAAAGAAATGTAGTATAATATGAGCCTCTTCGTTAGCGAGCTACAAGCCCCTCCTACCAGCGTTGTTGGCGGAAGATGCACTTATGCAATTGGTGTCTCATCCGGATCCCTGGGCCTCCTACTTAGATTCATCAGCTAATCAGTTATGCTGTACATGTACATTGTACATCCACATGTACAAGTGCATGCACATCACATTGCAAACCCTGTCACTGACACAGGGTAACTTTGGCCGACCTCAGCAGGTGCCTTTGGGGAGGTTTCCTGTTGTTTTTGTTTTTAAAAGTTCCTGAGGCAGAAAGGGACAGCTGAAGTTATGAGGGGATTTACAAGCAGGACACAAGACTGGAAACAAAGGAGAATAGCTGGTATTAATCAAAGGCATTCCAGTGAAGTGAAACAAAAGTGAAACCAAATCTTGAGGTGAAACAATTGGTGTGGTGTTATATTTTGTTTTCTGTTTTGGTGGTTGGGAGGGGAGGCACCGGGTAAAGTTGTTTTTTTTTTAATCAAGTCGTCAGATTCTGTGTTCAGCTGAGCCAAAATGCGAAAGAGAAAGTGTAATGTGTTGAAACAAAACGGCTTCAAAGAACTCAGTACATTGATGATTCCAAACCACATCCGGGTGTTTTCCTCATTCTGTTTTGCAATACGATCATCGAGGGTTTGTTTTTCTCTGTAGCACCAAATTCATATGGTAATGTTATCAGAAGGACATTGTTTCGTTTTGTCTTTGGATGTACATGTACTTTGTAGTCATCGAGATTTACAGCATGGCACTCACAAACATGCAGGAATCTTTTTTTATTATTTTTTGATGTAGGATATTTTCTGTGAAAATAACGTGCAGAAAGCAACCCAACTGGATTTTTATAATTGGTCAAACATTTGTCATCTTCAGACCTACTTTATTGAGTGATTATTCATTTCTTTCTCGCCAAAAACAAGTGTCCGGTCTACCATGAAGTGGATACTAACGTTTCCCATAGCATTGGAGTATCTTGTACATAAGGGAGTAACGTTTATGTACTTCATCAGTTTTGGATACAAGGTGTTCAACAAACTGACACTCCTTGCCTACGTCTTCAGGGTGTATTTAATCATCACTGTGCCTGACCTGTGCCCTGTCCTGACCAATTATTTTCAGCCTGTCTGCTATATGGGTAATTCCAGAAATGAAGGGTCCATTTTTTTCGTGTCCCTGTCAGATCTGACATTTGATTTTGTAAGTTCAGAACACACTTTCTGATTCATAAGAGCGATGATTTAATGCAAATTACCTGCCAAACAAATAGCAATGGTCTGAAATCAATTCCGCTGATATTTCCATGTCAAATAACACAGGTCAGATGTAACTGGGACACAAAAATGTCACACTTTTTGACCCCTAATTTCTGGAATTACCCCATATCCCACCCCCTCTCTGTTCATGTTGGTCTGGTGGTTCAGTCAGCTGTGTCTACATGTACATCTGGGGGTGTTCAGAGCAGAACTTTGTCCTGCCCAGCACTGTTTCCAAGACTCCTGATTTGCTTCAATTTTGGGCTTCTTCCTCTTCTTCTGTGGAGGTGTTGCAAGCCATTCACTTGTAGGCCATAAGATTAAAGGATCCAGGGACCACTTCAGCCATACAAAGGGAAATAAAGGGGGGCAGTCATTAATTATGAGGTCATTCATTCTCCAACCCACCCCCCAAAGTCTTACACTGATATCTACGTTTCAAATTCAGAATTGTCACATTATTTGTCAGACTCCAAATTAATCTTGTGACTCACTGGCCTTTGATTGAGTGAATATACGTTTAGTCACGCAGCTTGGCATACAGCAGTCATAGCAATGCATCAGTACAAAGTCATTTGTCTGCAGGTGATAGTGTAGGGTGCAGGAAAAAAAGGAGACAGGACGCCATTATGCAGCACACCATTGATACCAGTTTTAATTGCTACGTGTACCTTCAGACGTTAAACATACTTATATCTGTACACTTTCATCATACAGTACGAAAGTCTGTTGCCAAAGGACTTCAGCACATTTTTAAAGAAGTTGCTTCATAAATAAAAAGAGTCTCATAACTTGATTGATTACATGTTAAAATTTTATTTTGATACAATATGTTTACATTGTAGGTTTTTCAGTGCAAGGCACAAGTTAGTGCCATATGTACACATAGTGCTTATGCATCTCCAAGGACTACACTTTCTCGTTTCACATTCTCATTTATCAAAGTGAAAAAGCCTACATGTGTTATAAAACTACTGTTTATGTTGGTACCTCATCAGGGAGATTGTAACCATCTCGTCCCCATTGTCCTACACCGAGTTCACTAATACAACTGAAAAAAAAGTCGTAAAAAAACCTGCCAGTTTTGACGAGTAATAATGCGAAACTTAGTTTAGTTCATGAGTGTTTTTTACAAGACAGGCAACTGGTCTACACTTGTGAATGAAAGTGAAATGATAAATTGTAACCTTGACATACTAAAAAGCTTTTTTGAATTTTTTATGACACTGATTGCAAGTATAACTTGTAAATAAATGGTGTTAGAATATGGGGTTATTTTACGGCATAATTATGACCAAATTCCTCTCTGACGCACAATAAATTAAAGCTCATTTAGACTCGTTGCTTTGAAACAAAATGGATGAATCCCAAATCTAAGATTTCAAGATGAGAATGACGTACTCGATAACCTTCGTAAATTTACCTTGTAGTGTTTTGTTTTTCAGTAGCATAATAAGCAGACTTGAGGTCGGTGCTTGATACATCTGCTCCAAAAAAATGCAAGCAAGTTAGTTACTAGAAAAACACTACAGCATAGTGGTAAGACTTCAGAACTTATGAGATTAGTTGTAATCATATTTTACTCATACATACAGACAGTACCTTGAAAAATCAGACGCCCTAAGCTCCGTTTTAGTAAGCTTGCAATGTTTCTCTGAAGGTGATAGTATTTACATCTAGAATCTGTGTTGCTGTGTATTACATGTATATAACTATACCACTACAGGTTAAAACCCGTCATATAAATGTTGTTATCCATCACATGCAGAGTGTCATTTGTAAATTTGAATAAGACTTTGTAGTCAAAGGAGCTTGACACTTTCGTGTATCATTCGTAAAAGAATTTGACCTTTTCCCATGAACTCTGGTAAACTGAGAAACAAAATTGAAGTTTTTGTATTTCGAGTTTTCCAGTTGCTTTAATTCCAATAATTTAAAATTTGCATTATTTACAGTTCTTTATAATCCCGAGAATGGATTTCTGTCCCTATTGCCCATTCTATTCATAAACATTTTTGTTAGGTGCTACTTTGTCCGGAATTGATTGGAACAGGGCACAAATCGTTTTGTAAAATTCACAGTTGGCTTGTCACTTATTTGCTAATTTCCCAGCATGTATTGGGCAAGAGTCCTTCAATACTCAAGCAGTCTTTGTCTTCACCATCAAGGTTGCTCCCATGCATGGATCAAGTCTGAAGAATGCCAACTGTTGATCCAGTTAACCTTGCACCCCAGCCCTCACACTTATCTTTTCTATTCAACTTCCACACGACTGCCAACAAAACAGCTTCGTGAGCTTAACAGCAGCATTCACTTGAGCTCTCTGAGTTTCGTGACGTTCGTTTTCTGGAAATTTTTGTACAAGTTACATATTTGGTCATTTGTTGACGAAAAGTCCTCATGGTGTATGCAGTAAAATGACAAATTGAGTTCAAACTCTGATCTAGTCTACATAAACACACAGCAACCAGCACCCAGCAGTGTTTTTTTTAAACTCCCAATCGTAGCAAAATAATGCTGTATTTCACCTGTCCCCAAAACATTTAGAGAGTATTTCAGTGAGACAGGAAACAAAAGATATACAAAAACAGGCGGTCACAATTGGTAAAATAAGGTTTTACAATCTTTCTTGTATAAATACTACATTAGGTTTCTTATGTTACAGTAGTACATGTACTCTTTGCAAGTAACTTTACATAACGAGGCACTTCTTACAAATGCACAATGAGCTTTGCTTTTTTATTCTTTTCAGCCTATTATTCTCTTCTGTGGTGTCAGCCATTTTTCTTCACGGTTTACTGTCCTTGGCTTCTCGCTGCAGACACCCATGAAAAGTCTGAAAGAACAAGAACAAACTTGGATAGATGAGATGGACCATAGACGTAAAAACCACAAGTAGCCCACAGGCTGAGGTCTCTCATTAGAAGATATGCGGTAAGAATTAAAGACTCATGGGGTACCAGATCAACTGAATGGGAAGTATCCCACAAGGAACATTCCTTATACTTGTGCGGTACTAAAACAGTACCCCATAAAAATTTCACAAAACTGATATTTGGAATTTTCTAAGTGTACTTATCATCAAAAATTGAAGTGTTTTATTTAAGGGATGTTTGGTCAAGATTTCAGCCAAGGCAAATGATTCAGGAACAAATGGAAGCAATTAGAAAATTGTGTTTCACACACAAATTTTTTACTACACAAGAACAAAGGATGCAAATGTAAGGGTGGGTGACCCTGGTGTTCCAAATGGACTTGCTGTCATAAATCAGGGATAGATACCTTTTCCCCATTTGCAATACTATAGCATTAAATGTTACTGCTCAGTAACATGTATTCATAATTATCTGATTTTCCTGTCTACACCATAGGATGCCTAATGCAGCCCATATGTGAGCTGGAAGGGTGCACAAAGTTACCCTGCTGCAGGCTAATAACTAATAAGTAGTTCCTGTCAACATGAATGCTAGGGCTTCATAACACTGGGCTGTGACATAATACTGGAAACCGATGATTTCTTCCCCTTCCCCTGTAACACTGTATAAACACTTCCTTGGAAGACCAGTTTTGACATCTCCACAAAGGCATACATGCCATTTTAAAGCGAAGCTAGTGAACCTTACCACAAAAGAGTAATTCATTTTTACCAAGCCATCAAATGCAACAAAAGAAGCAATTCAAATGCATTCAGCCAGTAAATTCTTAAATCCTTGGCTTCATTTTAAAGATTGAAAATCCTGCAAAACGTATTCTTCTCAGACGATATTTTTCACCCACTGAAAGTCGATCAACCAGAATACGGTATCTTGTTGGCCAACAAATTGAACAATGAGCAGTGTGTAAAACTTTCTCAGCAATGAAAAAGTTCAAACATTTTAAAACCACAGGGGTAGAGTTAGTTAATGTGTCTCTAAAGGTTTGGTCTTTATTGCTCTCTACAATTAGTCAGTCTTAGAAAATCAGCTTTAAAATCGCTGACTCTGCTTACGTAAGATAACTTCTGTAAGCAGTATACTCAAGTTAATCATGGAGCTATAAAAAAGAGTGTAGCAACAACTGAAGTAAGACCTGTGTCCCATAACCTTCCGAACGTTATTTGCTCAGCAAAATTGTTGTTCTCCTAGCCACTATGTTTGTTGCATCCACAGTCTCTTTTTTAAAAGTCAGTCCCTCAGGGTTTTTTGGCAAGAAGCCAAGAATGGTGACCTTGCAGATAGTGTGAAGGTTCCACCTATGGGTTGGCAGAGCTGGCTGGGTTTTAATCCATTGATCAATGCTCAGTGAGCCGCCCACGAAGCTGATCAATAAAAAAGTTTGAAAGATGATGCAACAGTAGATAGTTTTTGTGCCTACTGAAAAATCCAGCCCACAAATGACTGTTGGTAGGGGAAAGGCCCACTTCTGTCTTTTCTAACATTCTGTAAAACTATTGTTTTTTTCTTCCACATGATAATAGGTGTTTGCAAATAATAACTACATGCACTATTAAACCTGTCTGACTCCACATCCATCCGTCCAAGGTACAGACTCATACTTATGAGGTCTAATTGGTAGTAGACCAGGGATTTCCTTTTTAGTAAGAAGGAAATATGGGGATTGGGTCACATGTCTGATTGTCTTTTGATAGGAGAAAACTGCCTCTGTATTGAGGCAGTTTTCTTCTATAGGCCTCCCGCTCAAGATCTGAATTAATTAATTGTTCCGCTTATGTTTCATGGCCCTACAAAAATAAAAAATTCAAAGGGTTAACGCTAAAAGAACTTCTTGTTTGGGCATGGGCTGTTGTTGATGTGAGTGTGTATGGCATTTGGATTAGCCTTAACAGTTTCTCAGGCCCCCCCCCCTGGCTGCACTAAGTGCCTAGTACGGCAGACTGTTGGATAATCTGGCCCTGGTGCAAGTATTACTGTTCACTTGTACTTCTGCCAGAACTTGCAATGCCAGTTGCATTCACGAGCCAAAACGACTGTTATGCTGTACAAGGCAATGATGGCAGGATTTTTTTTCTCTTCTTGGTATTTACAATCAGTAACCGAGATATATACAAATGAAAAATATATGTCACATTGCTTTTATGGTACAAGTGTCGGGGTATCGAGTCAGAAACTTGAAAGTTCAAGTTGGCAACAGTGGTCAGGGGCAGGCTTTCCATGACGTACTAAACTATTAAATGAAGCTTGATTTGGCAACGGACTCTGCTGTCATTGGAAGGCCAACAAAGGGTGTTTTTTTTCTTTTCATAATGCTGGCTTCTTTATTGCTGGACTTCTCCCTAATTAAATAAAAAGACAAAGTTCTGGCACCTTTGTGGCACCTTTGTTAGGTTGATTTGATGTGGAAAAAAAATGAGAGGTCACATGTAGTTTTCAAATAAAACAATCAAACAAAGGTTTGTTTCATACATTTTTGAAAATCCATGCTAAAAGACTGTACAGCTAGAACTGTTAGTGTGGAAAACAACTTCAGTGTTCAGTAAAGACTTAACCTTACGTAGTTGGCCATTCATTTGATTTGTTATCCAACAAATCTGTTCCAGGCTTCATCTTTGGTTTGCTCACTTGGCAACATACTGAACAAAGCACTTGTAGTTGTTCAGTAGAATAACCTCACATGACACTCAATCTCTTGCCGTTTTTTTTTTTCAAGGTAATTCATGTCAATAGTTTTGTTAGGATGTTGACAATGCTCATCGTGGATATTTTGACCATGTTCACATGTATTTGCAAATATCTGGGTGTGAGTAAGTATGCACCATGAATGCAGCCAAAAAAAGAAAAGAAAAGAAAAATAGGTAGGCATGCCTACTCTATGAAGACACAACCATTTGTAAATTTATCAGACTACTATTGATTGGCCGATAAACACACCCCCAGAACTATTCAAAAATGCACAATAGACTGGCTAACGGCTTCACCATTAATTATTCATTGAGTTACATAAGGTGCTCTTACATTGCCCTTATAACAGGGCCAATTTTACCTTCCTGTTGGGTGTAGTTTGCACAATGTTCATAGGGCCAGTGAACATTTATATACAACAAAAATAACAACACTCCAGCAGCACAGCACAGGATTGTTCTTTTGCAGTGAATAACAGCTGTGGCATCTACACAAACAATTTAAAAAGAAATCTTGTGATATGTATGGCGGGATGACCTTCAAATATCAAAACCGTAACCCTGCAAATCAGTATAATGAGGGTGTATTTCTTGGGGCACAAGGTATGCACAATTGTTTTCCAATGGAGCCCACTGAAAGCAAAGGAACTGTGGCTTGCATATGGGTTGTGTACATTTTAAAATTTCAGGGGGAAGGGAGGCACACCCCCCCCCATTTATATGCCCCTACTTCAAAATGATGCAACACCCCAGCATCTCCTCAAACAGCAGAGATTGTGGCAAATAATTCTCCAAGGTTAATTATGACTTGACATTATTAACCTGTGAGGACAGTTTCAATAGTTTGACACAGTACAGGCCCGGACATGCCACCGGATTAAATCTCTCTGCAAATCCCAGTCAGCCTAGATGCAAAAAAAGAAAAACGAACAGGAATAGGTTCGTGCACCGGAAATTTGCATCAGGTGCATCATGAGTCAGGCTAATTACGTATGCAAATGAGGTATTAGTAGTTCCCATTAAGGAGCGCAAAGAAGGCACCTACTATGGGATAACTCAGTTCCTTCAAAGGGACAGGTTCTGTCACTTTTTATTGGTGAACAAGAATCTTGATGGTTTTGTGTGTATGACAGGTGACATTTCATTGTTATATTACCTGTTTTTTTTACTTCGGTAGACTTTCTTTAACTGAGGGTAAATATTTTTTTAATCGGAAGGGGTGTGGCTTAATTTTTTTGGGGGGACAGGACTATAGGGCTTTCACGTTGCAAAATCTGCGGCTACACGGGACGGTAAGTCTCAGAATGCCCTGAGTGACTATTTGCTCTGTTTTAGTAGTTCAGTTTTAGTGATTGATGCGTTTTCAGTGGACTGCATTTTCTACTTTTCTTCTCCCCCTTCCCCCAACAAACAAAAGTCAAAAAGACTGGCAGTTGTCCTTTCACAGTTCCACATTTGTGCAGTGTACATGGTGTAGCCATGACTGAAAGATGTTTACTAAAATTCAGTGTTTCCTCTCAGCCTTGGCAAGGCTCCCAGCCCCTCCCCCCCCCAAAAAAAAAATCCAGTCACAGCACAATCACTGAAAGGGCTCTAGCACAAGGTAATAATTGGGAGTCTGGCTCATTTAATTAAGGGAAAAATGTACTGAAGAAACTTCGCCAGGATATCTGTGCCACCCTCCCAGAAGAAATGTAATGCTACAACGATTTGAAGGGTCACAGGTAACTCTTTCAAGAACGTGTAGCTTGAGGTTGAAGTCTGCCCAACTTTGCTTTTATTCTGATGACCCTTTCTATGAGATATATAACTTGCTGAGTTGTGCTTCCTTTAAAAAATAACTTCACCTTTTAGATCTAGGTAATGTGATATAAAAAGGGAGCCCGTGCGGCATGTAACTTAATAAGCATGTAAATACAGTTTCCACTTTGTCATCCACTTCAAAGGATACACTGCACTGAGAAAACACCTACTCTCAGTGTGAAGACAGACACTGAACAAGATGTTCTGAATTATTATAGGCCATGTGTTCAAACTGAAAATGATTCAAATATTTACAGGTACAATGTATCCTGTTAAACCTGACAAACTTTGCTCATTGGTTGTTGTTTGAAAGGGATTAAAGATGACTTTCAGGTTTTCAGTGTCAGAATAGTAACTCACTTGGCATATAAATCTTCACGGTGAAAAATGTGAAAAGATGACTTTCAGGTTTTCAGTGTCAGAATAGTAACTCATTTGGCATATAAATCTTCTCGATGAAAAATGTGTGACAACTTAACACTTTTTGCGACACATTCAGGCTGATATCCTGGGCAGACTCCTGTTTTAAATGTTCAGTTCTCACTTTCCTATCACAATGAAAACCCAACCGCACTTTCCTCTTCCCGATAATTTCCACGTGTGCAGTCCCAAACCACCTGTCTCGGTACCAAGCCACTCCCAAGGTTTAGAGGAAGAACTTATTAAATTATCGAGTCTGGTCAATTTTAATACTGCGATGGAAAATGAATCATTTTTTACGTCATTGCCAGCTGACCTAATATCTTCCTGCTGTCAAGTGGGAGCTGTGTTCAGTTTAAACCATCAAATTAAACAGTAGATGGTGATGGTTGCAGAAATAAAAAGCAGTGACAGAGCAGTCTCAGGCTGATGTAATTTGATCAGAACAAAGATATTTCCTTCCTCTGTCACTGAGTTTCACTTGATCTTAAATTGTTTGTTTTCTTAAGAGCTCCACCTGAAAAACAAAATCACTAATATCATACATTTTTATTGTGTTATTTACATATTTATACCCTTGTAAACATTGCTGCAAGAGTTTGTTAATATGTCAAACCAATGCAGTTGAATGTTTAGTTTTAGGAAGTTTCTGTTAGCTCTGATGATTAAATTTCAGTGTCACCAATGCTGGACAACTTTTCAAGTGAAAAGGAAGGTAAATTGTAACCATTACCGGAAATCGTTTTTGATAGTGGATTTGACCTTCTCTTCTGCAGTAGAAACTGAAGCATGCCATGCCATTAATCTTTGTATTGCCTTGTTAGTCCAGAAAATGTAGAACTGTCAGAATTAATTTTGAGTTTGTTTTGTGCCTCCTATATCTTTGGATTTTTTTCAACCTCCTTCCCTAATTCACCTCTTCCCGAATAAACCTCATCCTAATATAACTTACCACAGCATCATAAGTAATTTGGTTCTAATTAAATGGCTGTGCACCCAAATTGAGAAGGCGTTCATGCATCATTCTGTTCTTTGTCTAATGAAATCTAATTGACAAGACAATTAGCATGTGAAAGAACCGCTACTGATCAGTAAAATCAGTAATGCGTGCTTTTAAATGTGTTAGTCATTATGGTCATTCCTGGTTGGGGGGTTTAAAGGTACCATACATGAATAATGCAGGTAATTTTGCAGGGTGTGTGTTAAGTCTTTCAGTTGTACACATATTGCTAGGTATGTTTTAAGCTTGGGGTGATGAGTGATACATGTATACGCTTCAAAAACTGTTTGGGTTATGATTGCCGCTCCCAGGGAGCTTATAAGAAAGCTCCACAAAAATAGGTCTATCGGAATGTAATGACAGCGAGTTGAAGTTATGAAACTCATTCACATTGCTCTTAATTATTCCCTAAAAAAGGTAGTTTTCAATTTACTTTTAGTTAAAGAAAAAAAACCAAAGGTTACTAACCATATCTTGAAACCAAATACATGTAAAGTTACATGTACTTTTCCATCTGCATTATCTTCCTTTTTGCAAATATGGTTGACTCACTCTTGTTCACATTGGAAACTCAAAGGTAAGCAGTACTGGAGTGAGAATTTGGCTTTATATCAATTTTTTATGGCCTGGGTTTTCCAGACCTTGAAAACCCAGGAGTTTAAGGTGATTTATTGTGCATTTTGTAATCACAAAATGTCATGATTGAATTTGTTAAAGACAGAGTTATTAAATTACTGATTTTGCCCTTACCCAACATATATATTCAGTCAAAGTATCTGGAAGCTTTTATTAGATGCGAGACTCAATGTTATCCTCATCTCTGAGGATCGGCGATGACCTTCTGATAATCCCACTGTTCCTCCTCGATGTCCAGACACTATCCCTGTCCACCTCCCTATCTTCCGCCTCTTTCATCTCGTCTATCTCCTTGGCACTACATCTTGAGAAGTCCTCCAATTCCCGCATCATGTGGAACCGCTTCATGTCCACAAAGTGGCAGTCTTCCCGCACGTCCACCATGTTTTCAAAGTGGAAGCCCCACATGATCTCGTCTGGGAGATAAGAAGTTCTGGCCTGGGTGGTAGTGCCCGTAGCCTCTACGATGCCTTCCAGGATGGCGATGATTTCAAAATCCATGTGCCGAAGATGATCTCGGGAGATGCTGTAGAGGGGACTTTTGTCATCAATGACATGAACAATTTGAAGTGGCCAGACCAGGAATAGGCGATCAATGCCAATTTCATGCCCAATATTTAAATCCAGGAATTTGTAGGGGATGACATTGCCCTCTTGGGTCAGATAGTGACGGACCATCTGCAGCCTCATGTGACCCTCAACAATATGAGAATTTTGCCGCAGGTCCCCAACGCGGAAGGTGAAACACATCTTGCCATCAAGTTTGGTCATGCAGGCGTAGTGGCTGAACTGGAGCGTCTTGGCCCTGGCTTTGGGCCTGGATACCTTGGCAATGAAGCTGCCAATGATAAACGCTTCAATGAAGTTTGCCCAGAGGGTGTGCAGGATAAGGAAGAAGAGGACTTCCCCACACTGTTCAGTGGGGCTGCGATACCCAAACCCGATTGTCGTCTGTGCCTCAATACTGTACAAGAGTGCCGATTTGAAGTTTTCAAAGTGTCTGAAGCAAGGCTTCCACTCGGGGTCATAAAGATGATCGAGGTCTCCTCTTCCTAATGCGATTCCGTAATAGATTGCAGCAAACAGCAGCCAGCTTGCCAGGAAACCCACAACAACCATAAGGATGTTGTAGCGCCAGGGCATGTCAACGGTGCTGGTGAAGATGTCCTTGATGATCTTACACCATCGGCCTTTGGACATGTTCTCGTACTGGATGTTGCACCTGCCGTCCTTCTCTACCAGCCGGGTGCGTCGCTTCATCATCTGGGAAGAGCTGGTGCTGTTGCTGATGTTGCCGATACTGATGTGATTTGGGCTGACATGGTTGGAGACTGGGTGGTAGTTGTTGGCCACCAGCACCCTCATGTCCGTGTGGTTGCAATTGCAGGTACTGGCATAGCTAGTGTTGAGAGATTCAGTCGCCATGTTCGGTTGTCTATGTCTCTGTGTTGTCTCTCTCTCTCCACGGAGTTAAAAGCAATCTCAAGTCTGCCCCTTCAAAGATGGAGCAAAAGCCTCTGTTTCAAACTCTCCAACAACAAAAATCCTGTAATCCAAGTTTATTCCACTCCACAGTGCTAAGGCTGTAAGGAAAACATCTGTAAAGAAACATCAACAAGTGCTTTTTACATTTTGAAGTTATAAGAGCAAACATGCAACATTTTTTCTCCCAGAATTTGAGACTTGTCAGTTCTTCATCCTTCTAGAGCCTTATCTTGAGATGCCAAATTTAAATGATGCCAAATTATTGATTTTCTTCTTGCCTTCTCTCGTCTCACACTCTAAGTGAGCTCTTCTTGGGAAAAGAAATGTTGACAAATCGTGATTCAATACCAAAGAATGCACAGTATTTATTTCACCTACCTTGACTTGATGCCTGTAACTCTCAGAAAGGGTAATTTCAATCCAATATTTGCAAAGACTCTTTTAAAATCCAAGTAAAATCCAAAGAGTGGTGGTTGGGAGAGGGCAAGAGTGCTAATTTGTGAAGTGGTATAGTAACTGTAAGCTCACATGGAACATTCCATTGTCACACAGAGGGATTCCACTCATCTCCTCCTTGACAGCCTGAACTGGTAGCTGTTTCTCCTCAAAGATTTTTTAACACAATACAACATTTTATAAACACTGTCACCACTTAACATCCCCTCCTGTACTGTTTTTCACTAAGTTTCTACAAACCAGGCACTAAAAAGATGGTTTAAATTCCAGAATTTTGACCCTGAAAAGAAGCATCTTTATTTACCAACCCACCCCAGCTCAAAGTGGGCGCTTGTTTGACTTACAATTAATTTTTGATGAGCATTTTGTTTTGCAAGCCCCCAGACTGACAATAGTTGGTGCCCCATAACAAATAGGCCCACTTGAAAAGAGGCTATTGATTCGTGGGAGCTTGGACCGTTAATACCTTGTGGCACTGAGGAGCTGTTTTCAAACACTCTGCTCCATCCAGTCATCATGGCCCTCACTGATAGTATTTAAATGACCGGAGAGATGGGCGATGGAAGGTTCTGGAATCCTATTGGTTGATAATCAGCTTAGGGGGACACACTCATTGTGTTCACTGTCCCTGAGTCTTGAATGTTTCAAGGTAACAGGTTTTCTTCAGCGTGTCTGCACACTGACCGTTGCAGGTAGACAGTACCTGACCTGAATATGTGGTTTAAATCCAGTGTTGCTTTAGTCATGTTTTGTGTCCTCGAGTAAGGCATGGAGTTTCAACCAATGCTTGTTTCTAGCTGAAGAACTTAGATGCAGACGACCAGAATCAGAAATTTTGGAGGGAGTTCTAGACATTTTTTTTAAAAAGGTCATTGTAAATATGAGATGTTTTAAATGTGCTGATATTACAAATTTGGACAGGTAATTAGGGAACACTGGAAAATTCTGATTACATATGTTCATATCACATCTGTTTGCACTCTCTCATTTTACATCATTTTCTTTTAGTTTTCTCCAGTTTCTAATGAATTTGTATGACGTTCCAATTTTACTCTAGTATGGGGAGAGTTTTGAAAAAGAGAACTGTAAAAAAAAATACTTGGAAGTGCAAACAAACTGACTGGAGATGTGGACAGCATCGGCAAAGTATAGCCCCAAAACACGGGAAGGTAAACTGCTTCTGGATCTGTATGTGTTCATCACTGTATTGATTCTGGTTCTCTTTTGCTGCTATTTTCAAGTGAATAAATGTTATTAAAATCTTTTGAAGTATTTTGTCTTTGAAGCTTTTTTGTTTTTGTTTTCCGTTTGGTTTAATTTCTGTTTTCTTTTCTTTTCCCTTTTTTTTGTTTGTTTTGGGTTTGTTTTAGTTTTTAGTTTTTGTTTTGTTTATGCTTCTGAGAGGAGTGATAAGTTGGCTGGTTTGTTGCTTTTTATTCTTATTTATTTCACCTGCCAGCTGTTGCCTAGTTCGGAAGCGTTTTTGATGAGTGAAGGAAATCATTTTTAAGAGACAGAAAAGGTTTGATTTTTTTAAAGTGGTTGTGATGTGTATTTGTTATGACCATCAATAAAAGATTTAATTACTATTTTTATAAATTTTATAAGGATCATATCCTAATTACCATACCTTCAATTTCTCTATTAGAGAATTTTGGAGTATATGGGGCTGCCAGATTGTATTCCTGAGAAGTTTCGACTAAACTGCTTTTGCAATGAGTCCGTTTTGAGTGTAGGCGTCTCTTTTTCAAATGGTGACGGCTTCACCATTCACAACTATACTTCATTTCATTTATTTCATATTTTGGGATATGCTTACAAAGAAATTCGATACGCAAAAGATATATTTAAACATTTGAAACAAAACATAAATAACCAGCTAGGTTGCTCAAAAGAACTATACATGTCCAGGGGCTCTCCAACTGGTTAAATAAAAAACAATGACAATTATAAATGCAGAAACTTAAGGAAATAAAAGCAACATTATCGTACATAACATAATACAACATAACATTAATAAAAAATTCTTTCAATTAATAAAGTTATGAATAGAACAAAATTGTCTGGATTTGAGCGTCGTAAATTACTTTTAGTGCACATATGAAAAAGCCTGTTCTGGTAAGGTAATGGAAAACAGTGGAGAACAAGCTCCTTGGGATGGAAATATTTTCCAAAGCCCTTCATTAACCCAGTGAAATTACAAACAAGAAAAGTAAAGAAAAAGATTAAGGAATAAGCTATAATTTAAGAGTCTTTAACCCGAGAGTTTTCTTTCACATAATAGCATAACAGCGCCCTTTCGTGAATATAATCGATTAACAAACCTCGGCTTTGCTGTGGCACCGGATCCCGTTTCCGACTTTGTGATTTTAGGCGCCAACTCTAGGAACGCTAGCCTAATAATAAATATATAATACTTCTTTTCTCTACTGTAGGAAATAGAAATCGCCTAAACTAATGTTTGAATATTTGCGTTTAGTTGAAACATAATGGCTCTCGAGCCAGGGATAAACCAGTACCATCGCTACACAGAGTCGAAGTTTGAAAAAATGTTAACCACACGCGGAATTTGTTGTGGCTTAGACTGGTTTCGGTCGGTCCATTTCCAACCCTGATTCACAGGAGAAGTCGATACGGGAACCAGTCCGGCAGCGCGGAGAACTTGGAACACGTCAACACGTGGCTTGCGTCTGTACGTGCCACACCTGACCTGGCGTTCCTGAAAGATTGACCGATTTCTCGATAGACATTTTAAGGTAAAAATGGGTTTTCATCACAAGTGTGCGCTTTCAGTACCAGATCAGGTATCATAGAACAATGTAAGGTATAATTAGAGTTTAATTATGATTGGAAAGGAGCTAAAAGGTGGTATTTTTTTGCGATCAGGTGATTGCGCAATTGCGGACAGTGCGATTGCGGGCAGTGGCGTGCCCTTGATCCTTTGTCTTTGGACGTTGAAGTTAACTTACACGTGTACTTTTTTCAACGTAGCCTAAATACTAACATGCCTAAACCGTAAACGTAAGCATGGTAAGGGGCTTGGACAGCTCGACCGTTTGCCAGCTCAACTCGGGATCGGAACAGCTCGACTATTGAGACAACTCGACCCGGGCCGGTGAGACAACCCAACCATGTCAACCGTCGGTGCCTCAAGTCAAATTCACGGACAGACGTAGCCCCATTAATGTGACCTACATGTATGGTACACTGCGCTCCCCTGCAGCCACATGCCCATACACCGAATTTTGTTGACTTTTTCAAGCGCTTCAAAATGAAAGCATTTTCACAATTGGAGTTGCTCGATGTACGCCATACCCTCTCCGCTTCTAAATCAATCCTTCACGACGTAATCTTAGTTCTTACCTCCTACTTTTTGAGAAATTTGCAGCTAATTTTTGAACTTCATCCATTCGTGCACATTGACGTTGACAGCTCGAATCATCATGGCGTCAAGTTTGTGACCTCTAAACTGTGACCTACATTATGCAAATACAGTACAAGGAGTTCAGATGCAATGGCTAGTTAGCCCTAGTTATGCCAGTGTTTGCCCTCTATAATATGTTGGATTTTTTCCCCAACTCGACACCCACCCAGTGCAGTAAAAAATTACATGTACTGTTGTGCATATCGATTCTATTCACCCTAACCTTCCCTAACCACACAGAATTGAACACGAGTAAAGAATTTGTGGCACTGGGTACTGTACCCCTAAACTGCTTGTGCTTTTACATGGGTTCAGGCATACCCAAAATAAACAGAGTCCAACAGTTTTTGTGCACAGTTTACCATATGGTGTTGGAATTTGTGTGAATGGGTATGGTTCCTAGTTAATCACTCTGGGGAGTTAGGGTTAATGATTTACTTTTAACCCTCCTTTAGTTTTACAGCACAAATATGCACAAGTGCCCAAGGTCACTCTCTTGCATGTTGGTGCAGTGCACAACACAACTTTTTTGAGATGTTTGCCAAGTGACCCAAAGAGTGACTTCAGCATAGGAGGGTTAATTTACCAATACCAAGCCATCTCGGTAGAATGAGTGACGACATTGTATTTGGGAATTTCAGTCTTAACTCTTGATCATTTAATGCTTGCTATTCTTTGAAAACAGATTATTTTTTTAAATGTGCAGTTCTGAAAAGAGCAGTTTTAAGTGTTTTTTGGTCATTCAACTCCAAAGATCAGACTTAAAGTGACAGCATGTCACGCTGCAGAGCGGCTAACTATCCCCAGGTTGCCATTAGCAGGAAACTTGTCGTTCCCTCATTTTGAGGAAAAAATGTTTGCCTCCATAAGCTTACATTCTCCCCACTCTTACAAATTGTGGCCCGACTTGTACATTACAAAGACCCCTTTGTATGCTTAAGTAAGTATGCTTAAGTCCAAAAAGTCGTCAAGAGACGGCTGATTTGTGTCACAGCCAATGGCGCCCCAACGCCTTTGACTTGGCAAGTCTCGTATTCAGTCACTTGCACATGGGACCGTGTTGGGCGATTGGTAGGGTGACTGGGGTCACGCGGGTGACTGAAAATTATTGACAAAAGAGAAGGATGTCTTACTCTTAGCAGTTCCTCCTATGCCGTGGAATAGGAAGAACTTGGCTTAATCTCACCACTCTTCGTTCAAGGATCTCTATCATTAGTTATCTACGACAAAACCTTTGAGAGATGCTGTTATTAATCCCCTGAGGGCTAGGATGAAAAATCAATCACTCTGAATTACTTCTTTCAATTAGGCGTGCTTCCGACTGTCAACCCTCCAGGGCCTGGTATAGTTTTTCTACTTGGAAATTTACTCATATCATGGTCAAGTGGGGTTTCAGAACCCCAAATGTAAATTTAGTTTACTTGCTACATCCACCATGAAAAGCTTCAGATTTCAGATCTCATGGTCACATTTCTTACTTGTGCCTTTTGTCCTGCATGGCCAAAAATATCTGGAGTATGCAAGTGCAATGACACGAACATATGGAAACTATTGAAACCGTCGTTTTCAATTTTATCCAGGCCCGACATTCAAGCTCCTACTCAAGGCTAAGAAGGAAATGAATCTCACAGACATGACCAGAGGAACTGAAGTCACTTTTGGCCATTCTGCATAAAACAGGATCTGCTCTCAAGGTCTCTGATGTATGTGACTGGGTTAGTTCTGGGATCTGAATTTTTTTTGGTGGTTCCAAGAGTTTGCCCTTTGAACGTTTCTGTTGTAATGCAGGTAATTTGAACTTTGTTCAGATCGATTTGTCGTAATGCCAACATGCGACAACATGGCGATACTCCATCCTCTTCTTTTTCAGAATTCTGTGAAATATGAAACGCTTCAAAAAACATTCTGCCAAGTTTTCTAAATCAAATGTTTGGAACCTTGTACCAGTTGAAACTGCCTGGGCAATACAGTCCCATCAAGGATGTACATTTCAATATTAATTCATCAACTATGAAAGCTCTTTCCTCAATCAGGAGTCGTTATTAATATACAACCATTGGAGTGGTACATTACAATGTATCACTCAAAAGAAAACCATATCTTTCCATTAGATTTTAAAGCCACTATCAAACTGATCTTTTTTCATGTTGCCAACATAAGGGGTGTCAGGCACCATTACCAAAGTCTACAGTGGGCTCGACTGTAGCAGACCGACACACAGTTTCCCACAGTACGGAATTTTTGCCTCATTCATGTCCGTGCCAGTAGTTTCGTCTGTGATGTTTTTCAGTGACCAAAAAAAGTTGATAGGACTGAAACACTTCCGGAATGGTTGTGTTGAGGACGCATAACTGCTGAGACAAACTATTGGATTGACATGGAATGGATGTAGAACAAAGATCGTATAGCACCGCAAAGTGGCGCAAGATGGTGAATTTCACCGTGAATACACATAAAACGTAATCGCATGGGCGCCATTTGAGCAAGCGATACGACTGCGCAGTGCACATTAATGCGCAGGCGCCGCGGCAGCCACGTGCACCTGGTGAGCCTGTGCCCAAGCATTACAGTAAACTGCGGAGGCGTATCGCTTGCTCAAATGGCGCCCATGGTAATTACATCTTTTGGGCAGAGTTATCCATCTTGCGCCTAGGCGCTGTACGATCTTTGATGTAGAGTCACGAGTTAGAATTGCTGAAGTGTCTGATTGTCAATTTTAAAATACCAGTTTACAACCAAAGCCTTTATGAAGCATAAATTGAACTAACTTCTGTAGTGTTTCACCCCATCCGTTGCACAAACTGAAATAATGCAGTTCCATCTTTTTGTCTGTCTTTCAGAATTGCCTTTCACCTGAGTTGGTCTTCCACAAAATTGATCAACAGATAACCATATTTCAAGGTAAAAGTCCAAGAAAGTAACGTCAGGTTTCTTTTGACAATTGATAGTATGGCTGCGCCTTCGGTGATGTGATGATGACGAGGCTGATTGGTCCCTCCTGTTTCTGTGGTAACTCCAGTCCGGCATGTTTTATGTCGGACTGATCCGTGTTGCCAGGTTAGAGTTGCGGGCCAACTGCCCTGATGAAAAGTGCGAGGCATTTGTCTGAGAAGGCTATCTGTATTCGTTTTGTTTTTGTTCCGTTACGTTTTTGCTGTCACCTTTGAAGGGATGCCTTGTCACCTCGCGTCTTTCTTTCTTTTTAGAATGGTTCACAGAAAGATACACTTACGCAGCATTCTCCGCCGTCATCTATCAAAGTGTTCTCCAGTGGAGGCTGAAGGGTTTTCAAATGGCTGAGGTGTGCCTCAAGATGTTTCTGACCGTGGAAGAAGCAAGTAAGGCAGAGACTCTTCGGAGCTGTGTGAAGTGAAGAAGGGATGAGGAGAATGGAAGATTGGCCCCAGGCCTTGTCAGTGTCCTTGCATGAGAAATCAGTTAGAATTGTGTGTGATTTCTGTAGGAAACTACTCGGCAGTGATCATTTCTCACTGTCGAGTAGTCGTTGCATACAGAGTTGCAGTGACCGAGGAAAGCAGGCCTCAGAGTCGAGAGGAATGTTTAAGTTTTAAAGTTGCAGTAAGCGTGTGCCCGAGTCGCATGGTTATGATTGTGCCTTGGGCACTTTGGTCCATTTCTCCCTCCAGTCATGTCTGGTCTTGTTTATAGCGCTCTTCCTGGGACTGTTATCAGTGACGATTTACAAGACGTTACCTATTTCTGCAATCGGATGCCTTTTCAACAGTGCATCCAAATGTAGACAACAGGACACCACTGAGATAACAGTCAAACTTACGTTTCCTTTGTCACAGAAATATCATGAAGGATTCTGCCTTTGTTTAATGTAATACATGTAGTACTTATATTTATTTATATTTTTTTTTCAGATATACCTTGAATGTGTTGAAAGATATTGGGACCCAATGTTTTTAAAGGTAGGAATCCGTTCTAAATTCATTGACATTAACAGGGATGCACTTCCTTGAGCCACAGTGATTAAAAAGACAAGTAGCTGCTTCAGCCTTGCTGAAATTCTATTGTCCTAACCAAAATGTAGACAACCTTTCAACAATAACGGTGAGCAGAAACGTTCCTGTACTAACTTGGTCTTGCCTGAACTCTAGCTTTGGACACTTTTGATTGCGCAATTTCAGAGAACATGGGAATTCAAGTTGAACCCTTTCGTGACAGTATTATTGGGACGTGGCAATGGGAATTTTCAATGCATGGAAATTACATGGAATCTAACTTCTCTGTCGAACGGTGCTGTAGTTATTCCAGAATGAAGATGGCAGCTGCTTGTATAGGTTCCCTGTTGCTGATTCATGAGGTCGTCATATGTTCTTGTTCAGTAATGCCAACACGTTATTCTAAGGGCTGCTGTCAGTGACGATCCATTAGACGTTACCTATCTCTGCCAGGACGTGTAATTATGCACTCCGTTGTGGACAATAGGACACCACTGAGACAACAGCACTTTTCAATATCTTTGTATCCGTATTACCACAGTGCTTTGGTTTGATCTTGAACCACTTTTGTTCTTTCCACTTTCTTTTCTTGTTATGCAGATAATGCTTTCCCCGTGGTGAGTTCCATTTCCAAAAATTGAATCTCTATTGTGCATCTGCTTTGTATGGGTTGAACCCGGTTTGTTAGAGTGATGGTGTGCCACGATGCAGAATGAATTGCTGGTCTGTGAATCTGGCAAATGATGCTGCCGGGGCAATTCATGCAGGAATTCATGTGGAGTGCCTTGTGATTAAGAGCATCAGATTCGTAGTCGGCGGGTAAAGCAGCAGGTTGCAGGTTCGAATCCAGCCTTGGGTCATGGTGCGTGTGCCCTTGGGCAAGGCACTTTGTCACTCATTGCCTCTCTCCACCCTGGAGTAATTGGGTCCTGTGAGAGCAGAGATGGTTATTGTGGGTTGATTTAGCTGCTTTGCGCTGAAATGGCATCATGGAGCTGTATACTCCCCAGGGAGCTGAGATGGTTTTTGGATGTTTCATGGGCCCAGTGAGCAGGGGTAATAATGATGGATTTGCGCCTTGATCAGTTTTCTGGATAAGTGCGCTTTTTAAATGTATATTAGTATTATTACTGATCACATTTGAGAACTCGTGAATAGAGTAGACTTACATTGACAGTTCTGTTGCATTTGCTAAAGGAAACTGCACTAACTTGTGATACCCTTTGAGTCGATGATGCTGTTGAAAAGGTTATCCAGTTCAGAAAGTTACTGTGTTGAAAACAGAAATATCAGATCTGAGACTCGGTGAGGTTGAGAACGAAGGTACAAGCGTGGATGAGATAAAAAGTCGTATTTGAAAGTGAAACATGGGAACTGTTTCTAATTCATTTAATCCAGAGCTGACGATGGATGAGCTGATCAGGAACACAGATGCTGAATATTATACTTGCTTTCTGTAGGTAGGTAAATCCTTGCAGTGTGCTGAAGCAGGGACATCATTTAGTGAAATTTGTTGCTATTTTGAAATTTAAAAATATTACCCTTATATAAGGCCAAACAAAAAAATAGCTGTTTCCGGTTACCCGACCCAACCTAGAAAATCATGTGGAACCTATATCTTTTTATTCGACAAATCAATGAAATATATAAACATGGTGCCTTGCTCCAAGCCTAACTTTGTGTACATTGTCCTGTATACTGTATTTTAATTTTTTTGTACGAGATGGACGGTTCTTGTTTTTTGTATTTCAATAACCAGCTGCTTTACTACTCAATTACAGAGCTGATATGTAATATTGATGTGCACATGTAGAGTATTAATCTGACTTAGTACCTGTTGAAAAATATATGCCCCCCCCCCAAAAAAAAAGGAAAGACAGACCAACAAATTTTTGGGGCTATAAAAATTTAGAGTAAGAAACAAAATTTACCCAACCAACCACCCAAATTTTTTTTTTTTTCAGTGTAATAGGACCTAAAAAGCCTTTTGCTATAAGGGAACTTCCAATTTCTTGGTTGGGGGTTATTAACTGTTTGCTTGTGTGTGATGATACCGCATATTTGACACCTCTTATGTTAGAGCCTGGTCCCAATATCCAGTACTCGATGAATAAGATAGATTCTGATGCAAGCAAACTTCTAACATGACTGATGATGTCATTACTAATATATTTTTGTCCCTGACTCAAATTGTAAATGTCTTAACTGCTGTACATGGCAAAAAAGTCTCATGTTTCTGAAAAAGTGTACAAGTTCTGAACATGCTTATGTCTTTGAACAAATGTTGAGCTTACCACAGCATAGAGACTTTTAAGATTCTTAATAAGAGAAACTTTTGCCAGAATGAAGGAAAAAAATGAAGCACAACTAAATTGAAGTTCTGTAACACTCTCAGGCTGCTGGAGGAAGCGTTTCTGTCAGATGTGAGCAGATTGTCATTTTCAGGTAAGCACTGTCAAGCACATAACAGTCTAACCTCTGTTTTTTTGTTCATGGCTGAAATTGGTTGCTTGTATAGGATGAAATCCATTTGACACCTCTTTTACTAGGGTCTTGGTATGATGGCTTAGACTCTATGAATAATATTTACTCTGAATGCAAGCAAGCTTTTTTATGTCATAGGCTTCCTTGCCATATTTCATATGTGGACAGAGGAAAAATCATTGGGGTAGTGAAGTTTTGTGTGTTCAGTGCAGAACCTGTTTTGTTTTTTTGGGGGGGATTTTCGTGTGGCGCTGTGTGCTAAATGTGATGAATCACAACATTCAGAATAGACCTGTTGATTTTGACTCATATCAGCCAAGTGAAATATTGCTTGAAATTCGGTTTTTATTCCAGTAAGCAGGGTTGAAGTTAATAACAACCTCGCTCATGTTTCTTTTTGATTCGACGCTCTTGACCTCTTCCTGCCGGGGATCCAGGATCCAGAAACGTATGCTTTATATGCGTGGCTGGGGTCTCTGAACTCGGACAAAGGGAACATTCAAAATGCTGTCAAATGACAGCTGGTCCTCATCAGCTCCGCTGTTGATAAGTTACCCCTGTTCATTCTCAAGACTGAACCCTGTCTCTCAACCACTTCCCTCTTCCAAAGCATCATCACAGGAGAACAGCATCGTTACAAAATTCCCAAATACAAGTGAAGAAGAATGCAGACGCGTGGAGGATCTGTAGGTATGTAAGTCGGGAATAACTGACCGTCTTGACCACTTCCTGCCGGGCGATCCATTTTCGAGTACATAGGCTTTATATGCAGAGCCGGGGAGCCCGGAACTGGGACAAAAGAGTTGGGCCTTATAACAAAAGACCGTGCTCCGCACAAAAGACTGAGCTGCTGGGCATTAGTGACATTTTTTCGCTCTCAATAGTGGAGATAATCCAGCCTTGTTTTGAAACAGTATACCATGGTTTGAGGCATTTAGAGCGAGAGGATTACCACCGGGGACAAAAGCACTCCACCACTGCAGTGATGAGCCACACAGCACCACTGCACGCTAATCTGGCTCCTATTGAAAAGAGGTCAGCAGTGCACTTTGCCGGTTTCGGGAACAAAAGAATCTTATGTAACGCCGCACAATCTGGGCTCTTTTTCCAAGGCTGCAGGCCTGGCTGAAATATTCAAAAGTCATTGAAGATTAACTGTCAGCTTTATAGTAGTACCCAAAGAGTCCTTCATGTGGGTATAAATTAAATGGCCATTAAATGAAATGATGAATTTTTGAAGAATTATGAAAACGGAAAATCTTGAAAAGGACCCGGCATCTTGTCTTGCTCAAGTCCACCGGGCAGCAAGTGGTTAATGTGTGATGCCTGCAGCCATTGTGTAGGCATGCTGCTATGTCCAGTGCAAGGTTGTCTGCAGAAATCAACCAGCTCAGCATATCTGTTAGTTATTGACACTGAGCTTTCAGATTTTTTTTTCTTGGAGGCATCCGGAATCCTGTAAAATACAACGTCAGTAATTGCATATCCCCTGGCAAAGGACTCCCAGCTCAG